AACTCTTGCAAGAGCAATAAGACAAGAGAAGGAAATTAAAGGAGTAATAACCGGAAAAAGATCAAATTATCCCTTTTTGAAGATGACATATTATATCTAAGAGATGCCAAAAATTCCACCAAAAAACTTCTAGAAATTATTAACAAGTTCAGTAAAGTGGCAGGTTACAAAATTAACCTACAAAATTCTGTAGCCTTTCTATACACCAATAACAAGCAATCAGAGCAAGAGCAAATGGAAACAAACACTCCCCTTCACAATAGCTGCAAAAACAATAAAATGTCTTAGAGTAAACTTGACCAAAGACATTAGAGAGCTCTACAATGAAAATTTTAAATCTTTAGAGAAAGAGATTGATCAGAAGATGGAAGGACCTCCCATGCTCATGGATTGGAAGAATTAATATTGTAAAAATGACCATCCTACCAAAAGCCATTTATAGATTCAAGGCAATGCCAATCATAATCCCCATGACATTTTTCACAGAATTGGAAAAAAATATCCTAAGATCCAAATGGAAGCAAAAAAGACCTCGGATACCTAAAACAACCCTGAGAAATAAGAGCAATGCTGGGGGGAATGCTATACCAGATTTTAAGCTGTATTACAGCGGTATAGTCATAAAAACAGCATGGTACTGGCACAAAAATAGACCCATAGATCAATGGAACAAAATTGAAGACCCAAATATGAGTAAATACGATTTCAGCCACCTGATATTTGACAAAGGGGACAAGAATATTCACTGGAGGGAAGACAGCATGCTCAGCAAATGGTGCTGGCAAAACTGGATCTCCACCTGTAGAAGAATGAACCTAAACCCCTATCTTTCACCCTGCACAAAAGTTAATTCCAAATGGATCGAAGACCTCAGTGTAAAGGCTGAAACTCTGAAACTGTTAGAAGAAAACATTGGGAAAAACCTAGAAGAAATAGGCGTAGGACAGGATTTTCTAAACCGGACATCAATTGCTCAGGAAACTACGGCAAGAATTAACAAATGGGGCCTCATGAAACTAAAAAGCTTCTGTACATCAAAGGAGGGAATCAGTCAAGTGAAGATGGAACCCTGAGTGGGAGAGAATCTGCCAGCTATACATCTGATAGAGAATTAATATCTAGAATATACAAAGAATCTGAAACACAAAGAATTGAGAAAACCAACCCAACCAAAAATGGGCTACTGATAAAAAAACAGAGAATTCTCAAAAGAAGAAATAAAAATGGGTAAGAAATAGCTTCAAAAGTGTTCAACATTCTTACCCATAAGGGAAATGAAAATTCTAAACTACTTTAAGATTTCATCCTCTACCATCTAGAATGGCTAAGATTGGATACAGCTGATAACAAAGGCTGGCTAGGATGTGCAGAAGGGGAAATTTAAAAATTTATTTTATGTGTATGAGTGTATTGCCTGCATGTATGTGAGTGCACCATGTCATGCAATGCACAAGAGCTAAGAGATGGAAGAAACCTAAGTGTCCCTCAATTGATGAGTGGATAATGAAAATGTGGTTCATTTATACGATGGCGTTTTACTCAGCAGTAAAGAAAGATGAAATCTGCAGGTAAATGGATGGAACTAGAAGCTGTTATACTAAGTGAAGTAGCACAGACTCAGAAAAAAAACCAACATATGTTTTCCCTCATATGTGGATCCTAGAACCAACCCCTGATAAGTGTATCCAGACATAACTACAGGAACTGGGATAATGGAAATGAACCAGGGAGGTAAAGGAGAAGAAATAACCTGAAAGAGAAGAACAGTAGGAAACAGGCCTTAATAAGGGAGATATGGATAAAAAATGGGTCAGTCTAAGGGAGGGGGGAGGGAAGGGTATACAAGGAACCTAGGGGATAAAGGGAAAGAAGGAGCTCAAGAGAGGTAGGACCATAGGAGAAGAATAGTATTAAGGGAGAAAGGGGGGAAATGGCACCTTTAGTGGGAAAACCATGATGGAGGGGTGACACAATGTGAGAGATAAATAATGCCTAGCTAGTTTTGAAAACTAGAGGGAACCATATTATTCCTACAACCTACTG